CCCCCCCCCCCCCCCCCCCCCCCCCCCCCCCCCCCCCCCCGTGTTTGGGCCAATTTTAAGGCGGATTTCTGGCTGGGGCCATTTTGGGGTTTACCCAAATCAGGGAAAACATCTACAATTGTTCTGTCTTTCACATAAATGTCAATATTAGTAGTCAGAGATTAAACTAAAATTGAAATAAAAAAAGTTAATGCAAAGGTCCAAGATTAGGGGCCTTTAAAATTTGAAAAAAATACATGTGACGCATCATGACGGATCATTTTTGAACCCCCCCTAAAATTAAGGAGTGAGGCATGATGGGCATTATTTTCCTATATTCATGCTCTACTACAGTAGTTGTACCCATGTATTCAAATTCAGCTTCCAAATCAATTTCAATCTCAAGATATGGGTCCTTAAAGTCAGTGATTTATTCTATGGGCAGTCAGTTTCCCCTTTTTGTTGTTGCAAAGTTCATTGAACTTTGTGCTACCGTAACACCACAACAGAAAGCAATTTGAATTTTTGCTTTCGATTATCATGTATGGAACAACTAACAGAACCTTACCACCAAGTTTGAACAAAATCTGTGACATATGGTGCCATGGCCCGTTGAATTGGCACGGAATGACCCAGTGAGCCCTGTATGCACAACATCAATTACAGGAATGTCCAAGAGTACTTGACGAAGGAGTCGAAAAGCCAAGCGGTTGTATAGCATCACTCCTGATTTAAAAGCAATTTTTATCTGAGAATTATGAGTTACTTGGGTTTTTATAAGCTGAGAAATACAGTAACTGTTGTTTGTGTCATGTTATAAAATTTAGTGAAATGGCGAAACAAAGCTATTGACACTTTAGTTCAGATAAAAACTTCTGAAAAAACTATTAATCAAAATTCACTTACTTTGCATACGTGCTTGTCAGTTTCAAACTTCAGCTGTACATATATGTACATGTACATGTACATGTAAGTGGCATGCCTGAGATATGGCTCTTATACATGTACATGTAATTATAACATTCAAGCCAGGAGGCAGAACATTGTTACAAATGACCTAGATTACTTGCACATATAGGGTCATTTCATATTTTAAAAGAGGGGTGTGAATAAGGTGCATAGTAGAGGGTGCTTGAAAGGTTCATTTGTATGCAGTATTAATGTGTATGTCCGCAACGTAACATCCGTAACAAAAATTTGTAACATCGGTAACGCTCGTTAGGCCAAAAAAAAATAATACTTCTGCTTCCGGTTACCC